TGGGGGAAGGGAGTCTGAAGCTTAGGGGAGTCACTGAGTGACTGTGGGGGAGTTAGATGGTACCTAGAGCAGGGCCTGCTGAGGCCAACCAGAGGGGTCTGACATCAGTCCCTCTGGCTCTGGAACTGTGACCTTAGAATCAGGGAGGGGACAGATCTGAATGTGTGCCTGCCATGTGTGCGTGTTACCAGTGTGTTGGAGTGTATGTGTGTCACATCTGTCTGCCTGCCTGCTTGCCCTCCTGTGTCTGTCCTCAGATGCTCTGAGTTACTGTTTTGAACAGTGGTCACTAAAGGAGAGGGCTCATAGTCTTTGGACAGGAGGAATGAGTTCCATTCTTAGCTTTAGTCTCTGGTTTGAAGTATCATCTAGAAGCTGAGTGACTGGATTGGTCAGGGTTTCTAGAGCTGGTAAGAGAACTGACTGAAAGGAGCTGGCTGGACCTTTCTGAGTTTGTTTATGTCTCCTTTGGGGAGGATGGGGGTGGGGCTGCAGGCAGCAGCTGCCCCCCTCCCAACTCAGCCGGCCTGCCCTGTGCCAGGAGGGCAGGGAGTCCTGGCACAGCTATTGTTCACTTGCACAAATGCCCGTCTGTTTGCATCACTCCCCCCTCCCTCTCTTTCTGCTCATCTCTCTTGCTCCTGGCCCGACAGGTGTGGCTGGGTAGGAGGCAGGCTAGGGTCCAGGATGCCCGGGTCTCAGGGTTCCCAGCCTGATTTTGTTCCCGTAGCCCTTAGCACTGCTTTTCTGCTTCACCAGTATATCCACCCCCATTGCCTCTGTCTCATCTTCATTCATTAAGCAAGCATTTATTAAGTGCCTTTGTGAGTTCAGTGATGTCTTTCTGTGTTGTTTCTGGCTTTGGCATTAGTGTTTCGATTTGGCTGCCTTCCCCCTCAGCCTCCTATCTTTCTCTTGTCCCAGGAAGCTCATAAAGGAGCAGGACCTTGCTGAGACCATCCCAAGCCCTCTTCTTTGTCCCAGGGCCAGGACCCCTCTACTTCCTCATTTCCCTACCCTATAGCTCATACCCCAGGCCTCAGTGCCCTGCACAGCTGATGGCTCTGTACCCCTGCCGTCCAGGGGCTGAGCCACAGGTGACTTGAATCCCAGTGGGACCCTCCAAGGGGCTCTCTGGTCACTGTACAAAGGGTCTGGACAGCAGTATCACCATCTCGGGGAAGGGACTGCTGCCAGTTGCAGTTAGAACAGAGGTGATTCTGAGCACTACGGGACTCTCCCAGAGGGCTTGGTTTGGACATACCTGCTGGAGAAGCAAGGGCAGCTGAGAGCTTAGGCCTTGTTCAGAGAAGCTCTACTTTGCCTGGGTAGGCTCTGTCAGGCCCTGCTGCCTGCTGGGGAGCACAGGAAGCCAATGTACATGCTTTGGCATTGCCTTGTCCTTTGTGTACGTCACTGATTTCCTCACTCTCAGCCTGGGAGACAAAGTGAAGAAAAGAGGGGAGACCATATCTGCCTTTGAACTTTATAGCAGTCAGTCACAGTGCTCTCTGCCAATGGCTTCGTCTTTCCTTCCCAGCAGTGACTGAGATCTGGGCAGACTGACAATAGAAGGAAGGTTTGGGTTGGCCTTCTTCTGACCTCCAGAGGAAACCCTCATGGTCTAAGCACAAACGAAGTAAACGGAGAAAAGGGCTGGGAACCCTTCAGAAGGAGAGAGGAAAGGAGAAACAAGAGGAGACTGAAGCTTCATGGCTCTCTTAAGCAATGAAGAGGGTCCTCAGAGCAGGGGCCAGAGGACTGAGACCCCATGTCCACATATCCTTTCTTCTTTTCCTTCATTTCCAAACATGTCCCGAGTGCCTGTTGTATACCAGGCATTGTGCTAGGGGATTTCACGTTGTTTATTCCCTTAATCCTTGATATAGCAGCAGTGTGCAGGAAGGCTGTGTAATAAGAAAGACTTCCCATGGGGTTTGTAAGAAACAGAATGACTCTAGATGCTGGACAGCAGATGACTGAACCAAGCAGGAAGGGCCTCTGAGCACTGGGGGTAGGTGTTGTGAATTGTGGAGGACTGGGCCTGTTTCTTGGTGGACAGATTGGGGCATGGAGGTGAAGGGCTGTTTGGGGGTGGGTAAATGGGAGACCAATGTAATTATCTTAAGAATACCTGGAAAAGCCCGGTGTGGTGGTGCATGCCTGTAGTCCCAGCTACTCAGCAGGCTGAGGCAGGAGGATTCTTTAAGCCCAGGGGTTTGAGACCAGCCTGGCCAGCAAGACCCCATCCCTAAAAAAAAAAAAGGAAAAAAAAAAAAAAAGAATATTTGGAAAAGAATAGGACAAGGAACCAAACAAGCCCACTCATTCCATCTTTGGAGTAGTCACCCCTGGTAAGCAGGCCCCACATACTTTCATCCTCACCAGCCTGAGCCCTGGGGCGGGAACAGGCCACCTCTGGGACAATAGCGCTAGGCAGTGCCAGGGCTGCTTGCTGCTGGGCAGTGCCTGTGCTGGGATGTGTTGCTGCTGTGGCTGCTGCCCACTGCTGGCCCACCTAGAGAGGGGGTCACTTCAAGAGAGGGTGAGTATTGGGAGGTAGAGGAGGCAGGGCCCAGAGTACCGGGGCTGTCTATGGGCATCAGTGCCAGAGAAGAGAAGGCCCACTAGAGACCCTGTTCTCTGGCTGCCCCAGTCTTCTCTCCCCTTTGCCACTTCATAAGAGCGGGCCAGGCAGGTGAGTGCTTGTGGAGGACTGAGGTAGAGGGTAGAGGGCAGAGGGCAGGTGTGGAAAGGGGACTTATAGCAGCATAGGGCAGATCTGTAGCACTGCCCATTCTGGAGTGATCCTCGTCCGGGTAGGTGGTTCTTATTAATGCTATTTTTATGCTTGCTTGCTTTTAATTCAGTCGTAATAAGTACTCAAACTTTTGATTTGTTTCATAGAGAAGGCTGGAACAGCAAGAGAGAATGGGAGTAGGAAGAGACATTTGGACTTGGTCTTTGAGGTTTTGTGAGGTTATTCTCCAGAGGCAAATTTGAACTTCAAAGAGCTATAATTTGGAGCAAGATAGATGGAAGTTAGGCCAAAGGGTTGATTTTCTAGTGGTTTAGGTAGATAGGTACCAGAATAGAAAAAAGGAGGCCAGAACAGTTTAGAGGCTAGAGTTAGAGGCTAGAGTTAGCTCAGCTTCCTGAATAAGCCCTAGGTAAAGGAAGAAGGAAGGGGAGTCCATGGGCAATGGAGGAGAAAGCGGAGAAGCTAGGCTGAGAAAGGTGGGGGATGGGTGTGGAGAGAAGCCCAGGAGGGAGACCCTGAGAGGAGGAGAGAGGACTTGGAGAGACCAGGAGATATAAGAGAGGGAAGGAGGAAGAGGAAGACAAGGAGAGGAGAAAAGAATAGTAGATGACTGGCGTGGGAAGGGTACAAGAAGACAGAAGGGTTAAGGGAATGGCCTCAAGACCTCTGGGCTCTGCTCATATCATCAGCAAACCTGGAGCTTCAGAGGGGAGGCAGGAGAGAGAAGGATCTTGGGCCACCAGGAAGCCTGAGACCTAGGGCGCTGCAACCCAGTGCCCTCTGGCCCCTTCACTGTTGACTCAGCCCCTCTACACTTCCCTTTTATACTCTTTCTGCCTCAAGCACCAGGCCTGTGCATCTCTTCTGCTCCTCTGCTTGGTAACTGCTAGTAGGGCTGGAGCTATGAATTGGGACTGGTCTCCTAAGGTCCAGGCTGAGTGCTCCCTGCTAAATTGAATTTTCTGTTCCCAGTCCAGGTCCTCAGATTTGGGGCTTATACCCTCAGCCTTAGCAATCTGGATCCTGCTCTTTGGTTTCTGAGAGGCTGGGAGCCCGTGGAGGGAGTGGTCTTGTCAGCTTCTATTCCTGCTCTGCGTCCTCCAAGAGTGGGGGGAAAATCCGGAGATCTGAGGTGACAACTGAGGAAGGTCCTAGAATAGGTGGGAAGAATGATATCCCCATCTTTTCACCTAATGAGGCTTTTCGAGAAGTGCAGGAGCTTGAAGGAGGGACAGATAAGAGGTCAAGGAGAATGGCTTGACTTGCAGAGGCCAGAGGAAGAGGGGAAAGCAGGAGAAGAGAAAGGAGAGGAAGGACAGTTTGCGTCATCTCTACCGAGACAAAGCTGGAGGATGGAGGGTCGATGTCAGAAAGGACTTCCTAGGATGGCAGAGACCAATTGGGTGAGGAGCAGTAGAGGGAGCTATCCTAGGTTTTATCTCTGGAGGGTATATGAAAGGGATAAAAGTTAGACTGCAGGAGAGATTTTCTGCTGGGAGCAATTGAAATGGCTGGCTGAGTTTCCTTACTTAAGGATCCCAGAGAGGAAGAGTGACCCCAAACTAGCTTCCCTTCCCCTGAGGTTAGACAGGCCATGCTGCCTCTCAGAGAGAGAGGCCCTATGTGCCTTGGCTGAGTGTTGGTGAAAGAGTTAGAGGTTTGGGATCATGACCTTTGGATTGAGGGTAACAGTGGAGACATTCTGCCCCCTTCAGCCAATCTAATTAGGGGATCTCTTGCCCCCCCACTGTGACTGCCACAGAGACAGCGGCTCTAACACCGGTTGTCATGGTTATAAGAGGAGCTAACTCCCATAGATTGGAAAGCGCTGGTGAGCTGGCACCCTCTGCTTCTCTCTCCCCTCCTCTCTGCGCATCTTCCCCCGGCACAGAGAAGAGAGTACAGCAGCTCGGGGGCGAGCAGAGCTGGGGCTGGGAGGTGGAGTGAGGACGCGGAGACCTAGAGCCAGAGAGATGAGCGGCAACAGGAGGCAGCCCAGCCGCAGGGGCCAGGTAGGTCAGGGACCCAGAACCCTTTGGGGCTGGCCACCCCAGAGCCTGGCCTGGTCACTCCTGGACGGCTGCCTCTGACACCCTGTGGCTCTGCTCTAGGAATTGGTGTCTTTCCAGCATCCCCAGACAGGCTTTTCTCCCTTGCTTCTGCCCTCAGCCTGTCTCTGGACTCCAGGCACCCTGGCATTTTCTAGCCTCACTTCCTGTCTCTCTCACCTCTTCTGCAGACCCGGGAAAAGGAGAAGATGAGGGAAGCCAAGGATGCCCGCTATACCAACGGGCACCTCTTCACCACCATCTCAGTTTCAGGCATGACCATGTGCTATGCCTGCAACAAGAGCATCACAGCCAAGGAAGCCCTCATCTGCCCAAGTAAGTAGTTTGGATCTGATTGTCACTCAGACTCAGTGCCCACTGACCCTAATCTTTTCATCTGTCCTTTTGCCCCAGATCCGTAAGGGTCACTCTCCTGTCTGAGCCCAGCTGGGCCCAAGTGCCAGGGCCAGATGCTTGATCCCTTGCTCCCTGTCCTCACACTGAGGGGTGGTGGCTGTTGGAATACAGCATAAGCAGGACTATCTGGGAACGTGGGGGAGGGGAGGCTGGAATGGCTCCCTTTGCAGCTGTCATCCGCTGGGCATCCCCCTTGCTCCCTGAACAGCTGCTGAGGGGTAGGGGAACTGATTGGAGAAGGAGCAGGAATGTTGTGTGTGTGGAGGGGGCAGGGTGGGGGGTGATAGAGGAACTGGGTGGCAAGCTGCCAGCCTTGCAGCTGGTTCTGCCCATCTTTCTGGGCAGAATTGGACGTTCAGGACTGCAGGGTCCCCTTACCCCTTCCTTTCTATTGACTGTGGGTGGAGCCTGAAATCTCTACTGTTTCAAACAGAGGATGGGATTGAGACCCTTCATCTCAAATTTCTAGTCTGACTACACAGTAAGAAAGAGGGAATACAGCAGGAGGTGTGTGCATTGGGAGGTAGGGGCTAGAACTCCTGCCTTGTATGCATATCTGAGGGTAGCCCTGTATTTAGGGAGCATAAGCAAGAAATGCCTTTCTTTCCCAGGATGCATACAGAAGGCTCCTGCTTCCCCTCTCCCCCAGTTCCTCCTGAATTTATGGCAAAGAGATGCTTCTGATTAGAGCAGAATTGGAGGTATTGTGACCTGCTACTGAATAGCAGACAAAAGCTCTAGCCTCTAAATTCCTGTGGAGCTTGGGGAAGGAACCCCCAGAAAGAACCAGTAAGGCCTCCCTACTTCCTCACTGCTCAATTTAGAGTTATGAAGATGAGGAGGGAACCCCAATCTAGATCCCTCTAGAGACCTGACAAAATTCCCAATCCGGAAGCTTGTTGCCACGGGAACAGGGGAGGCGGGCAACGCTATTTTGAGAGCAGGTGGAAAGCGGAGGTTCGATCCAGAGACACTCGGTGTTGGGGGTAGGAAAAGGGAGCTCCAGGGGGGTGGGAGCAGCTGTAGCCCCCACTTCTGTCTGTCCCACTCTGCTCCACCCTCTGCCTTGTATTTGTGGAAGTGAGCATGGTGCTGGGTATTGTCTGAAAGAGTTAGCAGAGTTTCCGGTGTTGTTGGACAGGGGAGGGGAAGCTGGAGAGGGCCAAGGGCTGAGGGCATGTCTGGGAAGGGGACAGCCCATAGTCCCAGTGCCTAGGTTGGCTAATCCTCCTCTCCTTTCCTCGTCTTTTCCTACCCTGTGGCAAGGTGGGGCGGAGGATGGGGGAGAAGCAGATGGAGTGTGGGAGCTGTGGATTTGCCTAAGGAGGAGGAACAGGACTCCTTAGGTCTAGAAGGGAAAAGGCAGGCAGGCTTGGTGGGGAGGGGCAGGGGAGGGCAGGGCATGGGCTGGCCCTGTCTGTACTCTGCCACTAGTTCCATCAGCTTTCAAACTGCTTAGGCCTAGCCAGTCTGTGGGCATACATGTGGCACAGTGGAAGCAACATGGCCTTTGGATTCAGTTGCCCAAGTGTAAATCCCAGCTGTACCACTAACTGTATGACCTCTGACAGACTATTTAACGTTTCTAGGATAGGTTCCTCATCTGTAAAATGAAGATAATTGAATCTACCTCCAAGAGTTTCTAGGATTAAATAAATGTGGAGCATTTACTAAAAAAGCCCCTCTGCCCCTGGCCCCCATCCCAGCTGCCTCTGTGCCATCTTCTGTTCTGTGGGAGTCCTACCTTCCATCTGCCATTCTCAACCACCTTTGTGCTTTTTGAGCTCATCTCTGGCAGCCAGTAACCCCTTCTTCCCTGTAGTCCACCCCTCAGGCCATCTTTGGGTTAGGATTGCCCATCCCTGCTAAGTGCTTAATTTCATTTAGCACCCATACCCCCTTCTCACTTCATTTCCTGCTTGAAAGAGGGAGGTGGGAGGAGAGGGACTAGGGTGTGGTCATGGCCGAGAAGTCTGGGAAGGGGGGAGAATCTCTGAGGACCGTGTGGCCAGGAGGAGATGGGTGTCTGCATGTGGGTATGTCCCTTCCTGTACCACCCAGCCCTCCCTTCACCCTCTCTACCCCACCCTCCCAGCCTGCAATGTGACTATCCACAACCGCTGTAAAGACACCCTCGCCAACTGTACCAAGGTCAAGCAGAAGGTGAGATGGCAGGGAGGGCAGAGGGCTGGGGGAGAGGGTAGTGAGTGTGTGGTACCCTCATGCCTTTTTCATTCATTCCCTACCCTGTGTTCCTCAAACCCCCTCCTCACTGTGGGGCAGCCCAGACCCTCACCCCCAGGCTTCAGGCCCCGAGTGGGCTAGGCCTGCTGCTATAGACATGTCCCCACAGCACTGGGCTCAACCACCCTGATGCCCTTAACCACAGTGCCAGCTTTCTCCCGAGGGGGCCAGCTGCCCATCTCCTGCCCATGCCTATGGGGGTGATCCTTGGGTGACAGCTGTTCTTGGTATCTCTCTTGCTCTGTCTCACAGCAACAGAAAGCCGCTCTGCTGAAGAACAATACTGCCTTACAGTCTGTTTCTCTTCGAAGTAAGAGTGAGTAGTGGGGGAGTGGAGGAGCCTGCATGAGACCCTGGCCCCAGGCTCTCAGCCTCTGGCCTCTGCTGCCCCCCTCAGGTTGTTCCCAGGCACAGCGCCTTCCTCTTAAGGAAGTGATAGCAGGACAGAAGGGATGATGGTCCAACTCTTGGGCTTAGAGGTAGGATAAGAAAGTCCAAATGGGGTGAGGGCTCAGAATGGCTGGTCATTTGAGTCTGGTCACATCCTGTATTTTTATAGTCAGTTATTTACACTGCATTTTGGGAGTATTGGTGGCAGCTGTCAAGTGCCAGTTCAGACAGCTTTAGTGTAACAGAAAGAGCATGGCACTTAGGCAAAAAGAGCAGCCAGCATTGCCTGCGTCCCTATTCAGCCATTAGCTGAGTCAGCCTGGACAAGTCTTTTGACCTTTTTGAGCTTCAGTTTGCTCATAGGCTTGTTTGGGGAAGAGATAAGACAAAAAAAATGTTCATTGTGAACATTTAAGTATTGCACAAATGTAAGGTAACATCATCCTTATCATCTTTCTTTTTTTTTTTTTTTCGCTTTGTTGCCCAGGCTAGAGTGAGTGCCGTGGCGTCAGCCTAGCTCACAGCAACCCCAAACTCCTGGGCTCGAGTGATCCTTCTGCCTCAGCCTCCCGGGTAGCTGGGACTACAGGCATGCGCCACCATGCCCGGCTAATTTTTTTATATATATATATATCAGTTGGCCAATTAATTTCTTTCTATTTATAGTAGAGACGGGGTCTCGCTCTTGCTCAGGCTGGTTTTGAACTCCTGACCTTGAGCAATCCGCCCGCCTCGGCCTCCCAAGAGCTAGGATTACAGGCGTGAGCCACAGCGCCCGGCCCTTATCATCTTTCTTGACTAGAGAGGGGCTGAGGGTAGTGGGGAGAGGATGCCTCATTTCTAGTTGAGGAGCTGGGAGGCCTGAACCTCGGGAAGAAACAGACTTTGATATTTGACTGCACGGTGTCTCTGCCCCACAGCAACCATCCGGGAGCGGCCCAGCTCTGCCATCTACCCCTCCGACAGCTTCCGGCAGTCCCTTCTTGGCTCCCGCCGTGGCCGCTCCTCCCTGTCTTTAGCCAAGAGTGTTTCTACCACCAACATTGCTGGGTGAGCCTCTGCTTGGGGAAGGGGGAGCCAGGCAGGCAGAGAACATGGCAGTGGAGACCAAGGGTGCTGTGAGGTCCTTCTCCATCACTGAGTTCAGAAGTATAGATAGACAAACAAGGAGAGCTTAGAGTGACTGCCTCTTTTTTTTTTCCAGCATATTATGGGGATATAAATGTTAAGGTTATGTATATTGCCCTTGCCCCCCTTCCCCCTGGTGACTGCGTCTTGGACCCCAGCCTGGGTTCCCCACCTGGAAAGGGATCTCTTGTCCGAGTGGGGGTAATGCAGACAGACTCCACTTTCTTTAGACATTTCAACGATGAGTCTCCCCTGGGGCTGCGCCGGATCCTCTCACAGTCCACAGACTCCCTCAACATGCGGAACCGAACCCTGTCTGTGGAATCCCTCATTGATGAAGGTGAACATGCAAGGCCTGGGAGAGGCCTGGGGAAAGACAAAGAGGGGCTGAGTGGAGCAGCTGGGAAGGGTGGAGAAGGAAGGGATCTAGAGAAGGGCCCAGGGCTCAGGGCAGAGAATTTGGCTCTGAGTTGCCTTTCCCACCAATGTCCAGGTGCAGAGGTGATCTATAATGAGCTGATGAGTGACTTTGAGATGGATGAGAAGGACTTTGCAGCTGATTCCTGGAGCCTTGCTGTGGATGGTAGCTTTCTACAGCAGCATAAAAAGGAGGTGATGAAGCAGCAGGATGTCATCTATGGTGAGCTAAGACCACCCTAGTCTTCCTCTTCTCTCACCAGGTCCTGTGTGTCTGTGTCCTTCTCTCTGTCAGCCCCTACCTCTCAAGACCCTTTCCCTTATATCCTCTTGGCCTCCAAGACCCTACCTGGCATCACACAGGTTGTCCACTTGGCCCCTACCAAGGTGCTGTTGCTCTCCAAGGCCCTATCTTTATCCCTTCTTCAACTCAGTCCTTGGTCTTTACTTTGTGTCCATTCCATACCCACATTGTGCTGTGGACTGTGGTAAACCTAGACGTGTAGAAGACATGCTTCTTGTTCTAAAATAGCCTACAGCTTGAGATGACAAGGTGTAAAAATAAAAAATGATTAGAAGTGATCTAAGATCATAATAATGCAGAATGTTAACCTGAAAGGGACCTTGAAAACCTCATCAGAGTCCTGAGGCCCCTAACCTAGGGCCCTACTAATTATAGCCAAGTCGGGCTAGAGGCCAGATGTCCCATTGTCCTCCACAGAGCTAATCCAGACAGAACTGCACCACGTGAGGACACTGAAGATCATGACCCGCCTCTTCCGCACGGGGATGCTGGAAGAGCTACAGTTGGAGCCAGGAGTGGTCCAGGGCCTGTTCCCCTGTGTGGATGAGCTCAGTGACATCCATACACGCTTCCTCAGCCAGCTGTTAGAACGCCGACGCCAGGCCCTGTGCCCTGGCAGCACCCGGAACTTTGTCATCCATCACTTGGGTGACCTGCTTATCAGCCAGGTGGGAAAAGGCAAAGACTGCTGAGTAACATTCATGGAAGGAGGTGTGACTGGGCTGGGCATTTCTTGCCTCTAAATGCTAGTACACTAGGGGTGGGAGGGATCCAGGGACAGCTGGAAAGGCAGGAAGCCAGCCGGTTTGGCACGAGGCCAGAGAAGTATCCAGGGGATAAGGTGTGGCTTTGGGGGAAATGCTGACCTAGCCTTGCCCCACCGACTTCTAGTTCTCAGGTCCCAGCGCAGAGCAGATGCGTAAGACCTACTCGGAGTTCTGCAGTCGCCACACCAAGGCCTTAAAACTCTATAAGGAGCTGTACGCCCGAGACAAACGCTTCCAACAATTCATCCGGGTGAGCAGACCTCTCTAGAGCCCACACTCAGAGCCTTCTCTTGTGACCCAAACCTAGCCTCCCCCATTCATGGGGGTAGTGCATGTGAGCTGCACCTACATGGAGGTCAGGCATTCACCCACCCTGGGGACCCATCCACTCAAGGGTCCCCTCAGAGTGGTAGAGCACGTCGTAGTAGTTTCCTAAGCACTTTTCACTACTTTTGATGGCCCTTAACAAATGTGGCATCATTATCTCCATTTTCCAGATGCAGTCACCTAGGCCAGCATGAGCTAAACGGCCAAGGCAGGGCCAGCCCCAAAACTTAGATGCCAAGCCTTTCTGTCACCTTGCCTTCTGGCCCTGAGCCCTGCTCCTTCCTTTGTAGAAAGTGACCCGCTCAGCTGTGCTGAAGCGGCATGGGGTACAGGAGTGCATCCTGCTGGTGACTCAACGCATCACCAAGTACCCGGTGCTCATCAGCCGCATCCTACAGCATTCCCATGGTTAGTAGGAGGTCACAGGGAGGGAGAAGGATACCAGGGGTGGGGAAAGGGAAGAGGTAGGGTCAGGTGTGGAACTCTGGGCAGCCACTAAAGGTGGAATTAAGACATGGTGGGAATTGGGGCTGGAATAAAGCTGGCTTGAGCTATTCTCCATGCCAACCTCTCGGTGCCAGGGATGGAGGAAGAACGCCAAGACCTGACAACAGCACTGGGGCTAGTGAAGGAATTGCTGTCCAATGTGGACCAGGACGTGCACGAGCTGGAGAAAGGGGCCCGTCTGCAGGAGATTTACAACCGCATGGACCCTCGGGCCCAGACCCCAGTGCCTGGCAAGGGTCCCTTTGGCCGAGAGGAACTTCTGCGGCGCAAGCTCATTCATGACGGCTGCCTGCTCTGGAAGACAGCAGCTGGGCGCTTCAAAGGTCAGTGACCTGCTTGGCAGACCAGGCAAGAGTCCAGAGTCAGATATAGAGTGAGAAATGCATCCAGCCCTTAGGACCAACCTCTCCTTATGCAGCCCACACGACAGTGGGAGGAGAAAACATGGTCTCTGTGGCAGCAAAAGTCTGAATTCTGGCTGGGTGCAGTGGTTCATGCCTGTAATCCCTGCACTTTGGGAAGCCGAGGTGGAAGGATCACTTGAGGCCAGGAGTTTAAGACCAGCCTGGGCAACATAGCGAGACCCTGTCTCTACAAAAAATAAGAAAGTTAGTGGGACGTCGCAGCATGTACCTGTAGTCCCAGCTACTTGGGAGGCCGAGGCAGGAGGATTGGTTAAGCCTGGGAGTTTGAGGTTGCTGTGAGCTAGGCTGATGCCACTGCATTCTAACCTGGGTATCAGGGTGAGAACCTGTCTCAAGGCCGGCGCGGTGGCTCACGCCTGTAATCCTAACACTCTGGGAGGCCAAGGCAGGCGGATTGCTCAAGGTCAGGAGTTTAAAACCAGCCTGAGAAAGATTAAGACCCTGTCTCTACTATAAATAGAAAGAAATTAATTGGCCAACTAAAAATATATATAGAAAAAATTAGCCGGGCATGGTGGCGCATGCCTGTAGTTCCAGCTACTTGGGAGACTAAGGGAGGAGGATCGCTTGGGCCCAGGAGTTTGAGGTTGCTGTGAGCAAAGCTGACGCCACGGCACTCATTCTAGCCTGGGCAAGAAAGTGAGACTCTGTCTCAAAAAACAACAACAAAAAACCCAAAGTCTGAATTCTGCATTTAGCTTTATGGACTATACAGGGGCTTCCTTATCAGTATTTTTTCATTTCTTTGGTCCTTACATGCCCAGAAAGTTACCAGTTTTATTGAGGAAGACAAAGAAACTCTGAGACTAGAGGCCTGATCAGGGCAGTTGATCCCCCCAGCTGGAATCCCAGCTACCCGGGCTGGAGAATGATTGACAGCTTTGGGAACACAGCTGGCAAAGGCCCAGAGGAGGGCCCTGAGCCCAATGAAGGATGGGCAGGGCAGAGAAGAGAGAACAGAGCAGAGGGGACAGGTTGGGGTCAAGGACACACTTTCCCAGGCTCTCTTTCCAGAAATTTTCTGTACTGGCAGTCTTTTCTACTTAAATCAAAGCAAAAGAGTATCAGGCCTCGGCTTTGGGAGTAAGGAATGAAGGACAAAAGTAAATTGTGATACCTGAGGCCAGAGCCTGCCTGAGCCTCTGAACCCATGTCATGAAATCTCTACTCCCTGGGCTTAGATATTGTCAGTCTTCACCAGCCTCTTTCCTTTATCCCTTTCTCTTTTTCCCATCCCTCCCACGCAGCAGCTAAGAATATAAACCATGGGGGATTAAAAATAGCAAGGCTGGAGAGCTTTATTTCTGAAGCATTTAGCAAAAGCCCTCCCCTTCTGTGTGCCCACAGTTTAGTAAGATCCCCAAGGGCAAAGAGTGAGTGTGTGTTTTCTTGACCATGACATTCAAGTTTTATGGAATTGACCTTTGTTTCTTCCCTCCATCTTAGAGTATAGGACCTCATAGAATCTGAGAGCCTGGAGGGTGGGACAGAGAAGGAAAATGAAGCAGGACCCTACTAGGGCTGAAGGAGATGGATGGAGGGATAGTCTTTCAGATCTTCTTTACAGGAAGGAAACTGACTTTCTACCTCCCTGTGGAGCACAAACTGAGAAGTGAGAATATGCCACGGCAGGGGGAATTGAGGTCAGGTATCCAAAAAGGTTTTGCATTAGTTAGATGTTGTACATGGAACTTAAAGGCTGAGAAAGTATGGCCCCTCTTGTTCTGGGAATTCCTATGACTTACACAAAAATCTCAGACTCTTTCACCCAGAAAAATACACATAATGTGTTATATTAATATGCACAACTGTTTATGCAACCTCAGAGGGATTACAGTACCCCTGAAGCCTAGACTCCAGGTTAAGAAACCTGAATCAGTGGGTCAAAGAGGGTTTTCTCCAAAGGCATTGAGTTAGCCCTTGTGGTTCCCGCTAGCCCAAGAAGCTGTTTTATCTGATAGCACATGCCTCTTTCCCTCCCCATTTCTGAGCTATAAGAATGGGAAGGTGGGAGGTCTGAAAAGGTGGAGGGAGCAACCAGAGGGAAAAGAGGCCAGGAAGTGGGGAATCAGAAGCTCTAACCTGCTGGGGTAAGCCTGGTCCTTGGGAAAGAGGGAAACAGCTGCTCAAACTCTCTAGTGCTGACTGTTCTCCTGCCATTATCCCCCTGCCAGATTTGCTAATGTTGCTGATGACAGATGTGCTGGTATTTCTCCAGGAGAAGGACCAGAAGTACATCTTTCCTACCCTGGTGAGACCTTCGTTGTTCTTTCTCAGCACAGACAAGTGTTTGAGGCTCTTTTACTTTCCTCTCCAAGTCCAAAAGAGCCCTGTAGTCCTCCAGAGTCAAACAGCTATTATTGTAATTATTACTATAATATAATAATAAAAAATAAGAACAGCTAACACTGTTACGGTGCACAGACATTTTACACCTGTGAAAAAGGCCTATTATTATCATCCTTATTTTGTAGATGACAAAAGTAAATCTTAAAGTTTTTAAATAATCTGGTAAGGGTCAAACACATTTCTAAGCCCTTCTGGCTGGTACCAAAGCCCGGGCTCTTAACTTTTATTGTAGGATGACTCTTCAACCCTTTGGCATTCCAGAAGGATTGAAGACCCAATATCCAAGGGTCAGGATTCCCAGGCTTAATTCTTCCTTTTCCCTGACTGGCAGGACAAGCCCTCAGTGGTATCACTGCAGAATTTAATCGTGCGGGACATCGCTAACCAGGAGAAGGGGATGTTTCTGATCAGCGCGGCCCCACCTGAGATGTATGAGGTGCACACAGCATCCCGGGATGACCGGAGCACGTGGATCCGAGTCATTCAGCGGAGTGTATGCGTGTGAGTGTCTGCCTGCTGCCTGCATGTGCATATGGCCTCAGGGTTCCTGCAGTGTCGGATCCCAGGCCACAGCACTCCCTGGGAACAGAAACCAGCATTCAGAGGTGGGGGCAGAGGCTGAGGAAGAAACAAGATGGCCCAGGACAGGAAAGGTCACCTATGTTCTTATGTCCCATAAAGTCATGTTTTATATGCTGCCAACCTTGACAACCTTTCAAATGCAATATGAGCTGACAAGCAAAGGAATACTTTGTACTGTCACCTGGTGACATATCTGCCAGACAACAATATAATTTCAATTATATTAACATCTCATTCTGTAGGCAGAAGGCTATTATTTGGATTATATTGTATTTTGACTTATTTTCTAAAAAAGAATGAAAAAAGAAGATAATGAAAGCACTGATAGTAGAGATAAGGGGAACAAGTCTCATAAACTTAACAGTAGAAGCAAGAAGGAAATTGGTGTGCCAAAGCAACACATTGTCAGCTTCTTTTGGAGACACATTAGATTTGAGGCAGCCAACTATGTGTCTAATTAAAATGGAAAAAATGGCAAGTAAAGCACAGGTAAAATGTTTTAAATGGATTCTTAAACATAATGCCTAAAAAATGAACTCTAGGATTTAAAATTTTTTTCGGCTGGGCACAGTGGCTCATGCCTGTAATTATAGCACTCTGGGAGGCTGAGGCAGGTGGATCGCTCAAGGTCAGGAGTTCGAGACCAGCTTGACCAAGAGCGAGACCTCATGTCTACTAAAAATCGAAAGAAATTAGCTAGACAACTAAAAATACATACATAGAAAAGATTAGCCAGGTATCGTGGCGCATGCCTGTAGTCCCAGCTACCCAGGAGGCTGAGGCAGTAGGGTCACTTGAGCCCAGGAGTTTGAGGTTGCTGTGAGCTAGGCTGATGCCATGGCACTGTAGCCCAGGCAACAAAGCCACATTCTGTCTCAAAAAAAAAAAAAATTTTTTTTTAGCCTTCAGAGGATGGATTATTCTCCGCTTCATAATATCCTATTTTTTATTTCTGCAATTTCGACTTTTGAACAAGTTGTTCAGAAATGCATACAAATGTATGAAATTGCCTGTTCCAGGAAAACAGTTCAAAATACCTGTCCTGTTAACAGTAGATCCATAGTAGCCTCTTCATTAATAGTATTAATATTTAATTGTGGAAATTATAATTATTAATATTAATTATAATTAATTTATCAAACCTCTGTAATGTTCAAAGCACCATAACACTTCATTTAATCCTAATAGAAAAACTTGTTAGGGAAGATATTACCCTCATTTTTTAGATGATGAAATACAGAGGTAATACATATTACCACCTGGTAAATCGTAGAGCCAGGATTTGAACCCAGTTTGCTTGATGCTAAAGCCTATACTAACCCTCTGCACTGTGCTGCCTTTCTAAGCAATCTTTGGAGAGATACATACCAGTAAATGCAGAAGAAAGGAGAGGGTCAAGAGTGAATGAAGGGCAGGGCATGGTGTCTCACACCTGTAATCCAAGCACTCTGGGAGGCTGAGGCAGGCGGATTGCTCGAGGTCAGGAGTTCGAAACTAGCCTGAGCAAGAGCAAGACCCCGTCTCTACTATAAATAGAAACAAATTAATTGGCTGATTAATATATATATAGAAAAAAAAATTAGCCGAGCATGGTTGCACATGCCTGTAGTCCCAGCTACTTGGGAGGCTGAGGCAGGAGGATTGGTTGAGCCCAGGAGTTTGAGGTTGCTGTGAGCTAGGCTGACGCCACAGCACTCACTCTAGCCTGTGCAACAAAGCGAGACTCTGTCTCAAAAAAAAAGTGAATGAAGCTAGGGTGTGAGGCTGAGGAGTCTTACCAGAAGAGAGACGCATAGGACATGTTTGGGAAGGAAGGGGGGCTGATTCCTGGTCTATAACCTAGTTTCTGTCTCCCAACCCCACGTGACCTGTTACCCCTCCAGATGCCCATCCAGGGAGGACTTCCCCCTGATTGAGACAGAGGATGAGGCTTACCTGCGGCGAATCAAGAGTAAGTCTACCCACAGGAGCTCATTAAATAATTTATGGTGCATCCACACTATAGAATACTATGTAGCTATTAAAAAGATGAGGCGGCTCTATAAGGGCTGATGTAGATCCATAACCAAATTGTATTGTTAAATGTAAAAAAGCAAGGTTTAAAACAATGTAGGCTAGGCATGGTGGCTCACACCTGTAATCATGGGAGGCTGAGGCAGGAGGATCACTTGAGGTCAGGCTTTCAAGATTAGCCTGAACAAGAATTGAGACCCAGTCTCTACAAAAAATAGGAAAAAAAAAAATTAGCTAGTTGTGGTGATATAGTCCCAGCTACATGGGAGGCTGAGGCAAGAGGATTGCTTGAGCCCAGGAGTTCAAGGTTTCAGTGAGCTCTGATGATGCCACTGCACTCTAGCCTGGGCAACAGAGCAAGACCCTATCGCAAAAACAAAATCAAAACAAACAAAAAAAAAAACACGGGCCGGGCACGGTGGCTCACGCCTATAATCCTAGCTCTCTGGGAGGCCGAGGCGGGCAGATTGCTCGAGGTCAGGAGTTCGAAACCAGCCTGAGCAAGAGCGAGACCCCGTCTCTACTATAAATAGAAAGAAATTAATTGGCCAACTAATATATACAAAAAATTAGCCGGGCATGGTGGCACATGCCTGTAGTCCCAGCTACTCGGGAGGCTGAGGCAGGAGGATCGCTTGAGCCCAGGATTTTGAGGTTGCTGTGAGCTAGGCTGACGCCACGGCACTCACTCTAGCCTAGGCAAGAAAGCGAGACTCTGTCTCAAAAAAAAAAAACACTGCATGTACTACTAGTCCTCTAGAAATAAGTATGTTTAAAGTAAAGCAACTTGAAACTCTACACAGGGCTTGTTTCCAAAGAAGTATTTAGAGGAACAAAATTATAAGCCCTACCCATATGTGTTATAAAACTGTTTTGAAAAGTGAGGCTTGTGAATAGAAATGTAATGCCTGAGTCACAATCCACTTAAAACATGTAACAAACACAGATAAGTTAAAAAAAACAAAAAACAACAATGTAAAGTATATGCTACTATTTGTGTAAAAATAATATAGAAGACCAGGGTTGGGAGAGTAACTTACTTTTTTGTTATAAGGCCCTGTATTAGTTAGGCTATGATCTAACTGCTGTGCAAAAAGATCAACAAAAATAAGTTGCTTTAAAAAGGTAGATTATTCCTCTTCATATATTAATACCAGCCCAAAGCAGAAAGTACAGGGTAGTTCTGAAGTACAGCCCTGCCATCTTCAACATGAAGCTTCTATGTCTATGTCCAAAGTGGCTACTCTAGCTCCCACTATCACATCTGCATCCCACCTAGCAGGGAGGAGTAAAGGAGCAAAGAGAATTTATACCTATTTCTTTAAAGGGCAGGTCTGGAAGACACACCCATTGGCCAGAGTTTAGTCACATGGCAGTATCTAACTGGAAGTCAGGCTGGAAAACATCATCATTAACTGGGCAGCCATGTGCCCAGATGAAACTTATATACATTCTCTAATTAAAGGTAGATGGGAAGAATGAACATTGGTGGACAACCTGTAACCCATGCCACAAACCTTTTTTTAGTTTCTTTTTAAAGCAAAACTACATGTGTTATTTTTCCCCTGAAAAAAGTTAGAAGTTTTCTTTTTCATAAACGCCAAAAAACCAAAATTAAGTCCTGCCACTCTGCCCAGCCCTACCCCTCCACCGCTAGAGCTGCCCCTCCACTGGTTCTTCGGGGTACTCCCAGGCCCTCCCATGTGCTCACCTGTTTTTTATCCACAGTGGAGTTGCAACAGAAGGACCGGGCACTGGTGGAGCTGCTGCAAGAGAAGGTCGGGCTGTTTGCTGAGATGACCCATTTCCAGGCGGAAGAGGATGGTGGCAGTGGGATGTCCCTGCCCAACCTGCCCCGGGGCCTTTTCCGATCAGAGTCCCTTGAGTCCCCTCGTGGCGAGCGGCTGCTGCAGGACGCCATCCGTGAGGGTGAGGGAGCTCCCAGGCTCATGCACTCACCATCACAGAATATGGACACACGACCAGACCTGGACACACAAAGAAAAAGGGGATGCCAACTCCAAAGTCCATAAACATCCCTGAATCTCTGTTCTATGCTGGTTCCTGGGAAAGGCAGGGGAGGAGGTCACAGGTCCTTGCTACTGTTTGACACCACTCAGGCTGCATACACTTGTGCTGCCCCTTAGGCTTTTTTTGTGTTTTGGGGTTTTTTTTGAGATGGGAGTCTCACTTTGTTGCCCAGACTGGCTTCAAACTCCTAGCTCAAGCAGTCCTCCCAGCCCAGCCTCCCTAGTAGCTGGGAATGCAGGCACGCGCCATTGCACCTAGCTCTCCCCTCAGGCATTTTTCATGCCTTGCCTCCCACGTGGTTGTGTGAGTGAAGTCCTGCTGCCCATGCAAGAGCATTCCCCAGGAAGCCTGTGCGTCCCACGTGTTGGGGGTGATCAGCATTCCCACATGAGGTTCTACATCATTTCTGTCCTCTCTTCTTTCCTTACAGTGGAGGGCCTGAAAGACCTGCTGGTGGGGCCTGGGGTGGAACTGCTCTTGACGCCCCGAGAACCAACCTTGCCCTTGGAAGCAGACAGTGGTGGTAACACGAGTCCTGGGGTCACTGCCAGTGAGTGCCAGGGCAGGGAAGTAAGGTAGTAGGTGGGAGGGGCTAAAAAGAGTGGGGTGGCACCAGGGGACCAGTGGTGTCAGGGCCCTGACAAATGAGCCCAGCCCATCCTATTCCCCTTCTCAACAGATGGTGAGACCAGAACCTTCAATGGCTCCATTGAGCTCTGTAGAGCTGACTCAGACTCCAGCCAGAAGGTGGGTCCTCAGGAGGTTCCAAGACTTGGCTAGAGGGTGGGAAAGGGACAGCTGGCCTATGGATCCTCTACACAAAGCCACTGGGGGCAGAATCAGAGATTTGTGTTCCTGCTGACTCCCCATCCTTGCCCATTTCTGCAGGATCGAAATGGAAATCAGCTGAGATCTCCCCAGGAGGTAAGATGGGAATTTGATGGTATAGGAGACTTAAGGGAGGGCATTCTCAGTCTGAGAAATTATAGCCCAAGTTGGAGTGGTGTGGGGGGAGTCTACACTTCAGAGTATCTCTCCAGATACTATCATCCCCACACCCACACTTATTCAACTTCTGGGCAGTTCTCCCGTCCTGAAGCTTGGGCCCTGTTTCCACCCTCTCCTCTGTCCTCAGGAGGCGTTACAGCGATTGGTCAATCTCTATGGACTTCTACATGGCCTACAGGTCAGTAGTGAAGGGGTTGGAATGGGGAAGGGAGGGGCCAAGTCAGACATGCCCATTTAGGTGGGGCATAACCATCCTAACAGACCTTTCTAAATATTCCCCAATCCAAGCTCTCCAGGAGTGATGACCAGGGCCTTGGGTGTGAGGGTAAGGGGTGGAAGAAAACAAGGGTTTCTGATACACTTTTCTGTCCCAATTCTACCCCCAGGCGGCTGTGGCCCAGCAGGACACTTTGATGGAAGCCCGGTTCCCTGAGGGCCCTGAGCGTAGAGAGAAGCTGTCCCGAGCGAACTCTCGGGATGGGGAGGGTGGCAGGGCTGGGGCTGCCCCTACAGCTCCTGAAAAGCAGGCCACAGAACTGGCATTACTGCAGCGGCAACATGCACTGCTGCAGGAGGAATTACGGCGCTGCCGGCGGCTAGGTGAAGAACGAGCAACCGAGGCTGGCAGCCTGGAAGCCCGGCTCCGCGAGAGTGAGCAGGCCCGGGCTCTGCTGGAGCGAGAAGCTGAAGAGGCTCGCAGGCAACTGGCCGCCTTGGGCCAGACTGAGCCACTCCCCGCCGAGGCCCCCTGGGCCCGCAGGCCTGTGGATCCTCGGAGGCGCAGCCTCCCTGCAGGCGATGCCCTCTACTTGAGTTTCAACCCCCCACAGGTAAGGCGGCTTGGAGTAGTGACCTGACCTGGGGCGGGTATAAGGATCCATAGAACCTGAAAGAAATTGAACAGTTGGGGATTTAAGCCCAAATGAAATCAGGCAACAGACTTGAAGGATATTAAGATACTGGTTGAAGAACTGAAAAGAAATTTAGATGGGTGCATCGAGGAGTGTTGAAGGGTAATACTCTGGTGGGGACACTGAAAGAAATCAGTTGGTGGTAGATTTACTGAAGGGGAGTTGTTGGTGAGCCCTGGTGGAGAGAATCACATATCAGGGCCCAGCAGGGTCCACTGCCCCCAGCTAAGCAGAGCCTGCAGTCTCCACACTGCTCAATCCCTGGCCTGCTGCTTTTCTTGCCTGCTGTCCACAGCCCAGCCGAGGCCCTGACCGCCTGGATCTGCCTGTGACTATTCGCTCCATCCATCGACCCTTTGAGGATCGTGAGAGACAGGAACTGGGTAGCCCTGAGGAACGGCTGCAAGACAGCAGTGACCCTGACACTGGCAGCGAGGAGGAAGGTAGCAGCCGTCTGTCTCCGCCCCACAGTCCTCGAGGTGAGACCCTGGCGGAGACATGGACTAGAGGTAGAGTGCAGCCTGAGTACAGGCCTTTTGGCTGTGGCTTCCAGATGGGCCCCAACTGACCCCTGAGACCTACAGTAGCTGTGGGGGGAGACACAGAGAGGACTTCCTGTTTTGTCTGAGGATCAATGAGTGGTGGAACTCCAGGAAGCTGAGTGTAGGGGGCCTCTCCTTCTCCAGATGGAGATTCCCAGCCTTTTCAAGTAGGGATATATATATATATATTTTTTAAGAGACAGAGTATCACCATGTTGCCCGGACTGGAGTTGGACTCCTGGGCACAAGCCTCTTGAGTAGCTGTGGCTATAGGTGTATGCCACCGTACCTGTTGAGAAATAGATTTTTTTTTTGTTTTTGAGACAGAGTCTCACTTTGTTGCCCAGGCTAGAGTGAGTGCTGTGAAGTCAGCCTAGCTCACAGCAACCTCAAACTCCTGGGCTCAAGCAATCCTTCTGCCTCAGCCTCCCAAGTAGCTGGGACTACAGGCATGCGACACCATGCCTGGCTGATTTTTATATTATATATATTAGTTGGCCAATTAATTTCTTTCTATTTTTATGGTAGAGACGGGGTCTCGCTCAGGCTGGTTTTGAACTCCTGACCTTGAGCAATCCGCCCGCCTCGGCCTCCCAGAGTGCTAGGATTACAGGCGTGAGCCACCGCGCCCGGCCTTTTCTATGTATTTTTAATTGGCTAATTAATTTCTTTCTATTTTTGGTAGAGACAGGGGAGGGGGGAGTCTCGCTCTAACTCAGGCTGGTTTCAAACTCCTGACCTGACCTTGAGCAATCTGCCCTTCTTGGCCTCCCATAGTGCTAGGATTAGAGGTGTGAGCCACCATGCCCCACCCAAATTGTATCTTTGTATACTTAAAAAGAGTATCAGGTGTGTAGCTAGGTATGGGTACATGGTTACTTTGTTGGCAGGTTTTCCCCTCCTCCAGGGACTCACAGAACTCTACCATCCTTCACAACCCTCAGAGCCCCTGGGCCTGCAGATGGGGAGGCATTATTGTGGGGGTATAGTTCCTCATGGGAGTCCCCACTTACTAACTGGTTTGCCCTGTCCCCCTTCAGACTTCACTCGAATGCAAGACATCCCAGAGGAGACGGAGAGCCGCGACGGGGAGCCTATAGCCTCAGAGAGCTAAGGGGGCCCCTCCCCCTGCCCTGTGCCCCACTGAAGAACATTACTGAGGGGGGCAAACCTTGGGGACTCCAATTTGCCAATGATGAGGAAACATTTGAAAGAACTGCTGATTGTTCTTGCCAGCTCTTGGTATCCTTGGATACCTGGGGTCATTTAAGAAGCTGGGGGAATTAGGCCACAATACCCCCAGGTGGCATCCAAAGCTCCACCACAGATGCCAATTTTTCATGCCTTCTTCCCTCTACTTTAGGAAAATTTATTTATTTATTGTTTATTAGTTATAGGGGAGAGGGGGGATTTAAAGGACCAGGGACATGGGAACCAAGCCATAGGGATCAGGGGGCCTTGTCCTTTAACACTACTGGGGTATATTCAGGCTTAACCATGCAGCTGCCGGGTTCTAGCCCTAACACCCCTCCCCAGCAACCCCCATCTTGGAGGAGAGGCTGCAGCCACAGGACCCTACGACCCTTTAAGGAGGGCTGTGGGCAGGGCCATGTCCCTCTGCTCTGTCCCCTCCACCTCTTACCTCTGTCCTCCATGGGAGCCCTAGGGTGATAACCTGGCTTCCTAGAGTTGATGGAATAGAAATTGGGGTGCCATAATGGTTTGTTAGGGGTGAGGGGAAAAAAATCTACAGGGACCAGAATGTTTAGTTGTTGTTTTCTTTTCTTTTTTGTACCAAAGCCAACTGCACGTGTTTTATATTTTTAAGAGAAGATTGTAGGCAATTAGAGATTGCAGCCTTCTACTTCCAGATCTCTGAACAAGTTGAGGGTGGGGGAGAAAACGACTTCTCCCTTGATCAACAGTAATGGAGGACCTATACTGACCTCTTCCCCAGCCATTTGCAAAAACATTCTCGGGTGGGCTGGGAAATCTCTAGGAACCCTGACCTCGTCTTCCACCTCAGCAACCATGACCTGAAACCTCAGTGTGAATTTTGGGGATTTTTCAATGGACCGCCCCATGCCCACCAGCCCTGGCCATTTTTCTGCCAATTTGGTGTTAAAAAACAAAACACAGCAAAAAAAGATCAAGCAGGGAAAATTAAAGACCTGGAACCCCATGAGGTGCTGTCAGTGTCTGTCAGTTCTGAGGGTGATGATGAGGGGAGAGCATGGCACCCACGTCCCTCTGAAGGCGGACTTTCCCTCTCACTGGAAGGGCGGTCTCTGCCTCACTGAAGAGAGGGGCACTAACAAAAGTAGCTGCTGCAAATCTTCTTTTTTGGTTTTAATTCACAAATACAAGGATAAAAATGAAGGGGCACTCGGTCAGGTTCCAGTGTTGGGGGTTGTAATATCAGAGAACTTGTTTTCATCTTATTTGTATGCTGTACTCAGAAGTCTCAGCAGCCTGTTGCCCTCTTTCGGCGCAGCTCCTGTCAGCCTCTGCCCGGGTGTTTGTTTCCATCCAGACGCAGCCCCCACCCTGCCCTTGTTCATCTCCTTAGTGTCAGTGCCTTGAGGTAACCCTCCCAGGAGCTGCTCATTTGCATTTTGCCTCTGAGAGGCAGTGAGGGGTTAGCTGGTTTCAGTTCTTGGTTTGGGTTACTTCCTGTTTCTGGTTGATATCCAACTTTGGGGCTGGGGTGGGAGGGAGGAAAGGAGGGTTATATAAATGCTGGCACGTGTGCACATCCCTGTTGGAGGCTGTGGGGGTGATGAGAAGAATGGGGCTCAGGACCTCAGCAGGACCTCAGCTAGAAAGAGGAATTGAAATCACATGGCTCAGGGAACAGCCAGCACCCTCCACTCCTATAACTCTCACCCACCAGCATCGGGCCTTTACAAAGTGCTTTCTTATCCATTACAGGCATCCTGGGAGGGAGAAATTGTTTTCACTTTACAGACAGGGAAACTTGGGTGCCCTCTTAGTTTCAATCTTCTACTCCCCGCCTTGGCTACTCTGCCTAAAAATACCAGTGGTTCAGGTTTCAAACACACTGACAGATGGCTTAGCAGGTGTCTGCCATGTCCACTGGAAGCAGCCAGCACCCAAAGCTGTAAAGGTGGAGTGGAGGGAGGAAGGCTGGTGGTTGGGGTGGAGAGAGTTGATAGCATGCAGTGACCACCAAGAAAGGGAGGGCAGGTTCTATCAACACCCTCTGTGGGTCCAGCGAGGGGTGCCAGTCAAGAGAGAAACAATGAAACCTGGAGACAGATCCCAGAGGAGTTGTGAAGCCCACAGCTGACTGGTGAGCAACACTGCCTTGTTCTCAGCAGTGCTTTCCCTTCTGCCTTCCCTTTACCAAAACCCCTCCTCATCTTCAGCCCTGAAACGTGGCGTCAGAGCATTTCTCTGTGGGTTCCTGAGAGCTAGTTCCCTCCCTTACATCTTTGATCATTCTGTCTCTTGTCCCCTCCCTAATCCCATGTTTGGGAACTCACTTACAGTCTTAACCTCTATCCCTCCTGCTGCAGCTTCTGTGCCCTCTGGCTTTGTGCTCCAGGGAGTTGGGGCCCAGCTTCTCCCCAATATATTGCCTGCCTTCCATTCTGAGAGCACAAGCCTCCTGCCGGGCCCAGCCTTCCCTTCTCCAACCTCCATCACTGCACCCTTCCCCTCCCTCTGCCACCTCCAAGGGTAGGTCTATGTGCATTCATTTATCTCTGACTTGGACTTCTGTAAACTTTGTCAATATTTACCTCCGGATCCCATAAAGCAGAGACACCCCCAGAGGAGCCAATATCCTGAGCCCAGCAAAGCTAACAGGAGCTGCTGGGGGTGGGAAGAGGGATACTTAGGTGGGGGGAGATTTTCCATCCTCCTGAACTGGCTGAGTACAGACCTGGAGTTTTGGGACCAGTTTAAACATTATCAAAAAGAGGAAATTAAACATCAAGAGGCTAATTAAATCTCTTTCACATTGCTTAATATGTTGTGAATTGGGTGGCTCTTTAGAGCCTCTTCTGCTCAGCAATAGAATGGAACTGGGGCAGGGGGTTCCCCACTCATTGCTCCCAGCTGTTGCTCCAGGACCTTGAGCAACCAGTGTTGTCATGGGTTACAAGACAGGGTAGAGAGCTTGGTGAGGTGAGAAGCAAGGACAGCGGAAGTGGAAGCTCCACCTCATCTTTCCTCTGCCTCCTCCCTTCTTTCCAGGGGCTGCCCCCCAGGAAGTCCCTTCTGATGGCTAACTTTTATCACTGATGGGTCACAATGAACATGGAAACCAAAAGGGAGTCCCCACCCTGGAGAACATACCTTCAAGAGGGGCTTGAGGAGCCAATCCCCTCAGTTTCATTATACCCCACTTAGAGCACATAAAAGCATTCCCGATGAGACCTTCATGGCTCCCTGCCCCCATCTTCTAGCTGTCCCCTTATTTCCTGCTTTTCCTTCACTGTCTCCATTACAAGGCATAAGAATAATAACTAACACTATATTTCAGGCAGTTGAATCCTCAATAGTCCACTTTACAGATAAGAAAACTAACTGAGGTATAGAGAGATAAAGTAATTTGCCCAAGATAAAGGTTCAAATCCAGGTGCTCTGACACCTGAATTGATAGCACCACTTTCCATGATTTCCACTCCTCTGGCCCTACCTTCAGCCTGATCTCCCAATCCTTTCTCTATTTCTCACCTCCCTTTGCCCCACTCAAGTCTTTGACTTGCTATCTTCACTTGTCCCTTCCAATCCTGATTTAAAGGGAGACACCACAGGTACTCCTAGTCAGCACTAGGGTTTTATACCCAAAACCTGGCAGGTGCCAGGGATTCCAGCAAGACCCCACACCTGGCATCCCTGCAGGGAAACTACAGCTTTTGTAGCTGAGCCCTCTGCAGGTAACAAGCATCTGTGGGCACCACTGACAAAGTAGGATGGTGGGGATGGCCAGAAACCCTGTTTTGAGGTGAGGGTGGAGGGATGGGGAAACACAGAAATAGGCACTGACCTCTGATCCGTTACCCTAGAATCCTCAGGGAAAATCTCCTGGGAATTCTTACAAAAAGCAGAAATGGGGCAACAAATCTTGTTCCACACTGAACTGGAGGTGGAGCTGGGATAAAAGGTCAAGACAATTTGTGGATAATCCAGAGGTTTATTCTCAGAGCCTCCTCTTTCCCACTTCCAAATAGAGACTTAAGCTTTGTCACACCCAGTCCTGATCCGGGCCCCCGCCTCCCCCACACCCAGAGTTGGGGTGTCAAAGATCAGACTTTTCCCTGAGGGTGTTGCAGCCTGGCAGAGGGCAGCGTCTCCCTGGGATGCAAGGATCCTACGTCTTCGAGATCTCAGAAAGGAAAGCGTTCAGCTCGCACCCTTCACCCAGGTGTCCCTTTGTCCAGGTTGGTAAGCATGGCAGATGGGCCACTCTCCGGGAAGGTGTTCACTACCCACGGCCTTCCTACCTCCTTTAGGGCCACCTGTTCCACCCAGCCTCGGCCCTGGGGCCACAGCCTCGATCGCAGGTCCCGGAAGGTGTCTGCCAGAGCCTGCCTGGGCTCCCGCCTTAGAAGACAGTACAGCACAGGGTTGAGGCAGCTGTTGCTGTGTGCCAGGCAAGTAGTGACAGGGAAGACGTAAGTATGGATGGTGTAGAAAGTGCTGTCCCAGGGCACCAGGTCAAACTTCACCAGGATACCCCAGAGAGTGACCACATGGTTGGGGAACCAGCAGAGGAAGAAGGAGGCCACCAGGATGCGGACAGAGCGGGCCACGACCCTGCTGTCCTGCCGTCGCCGTTGCCGCCGCCGCAGGAAGGCCAGCAGCAGCAGGTAGCTGGTGGTGGTGACGCCCAAGGGCACCACAAAGGCCAGCACCACCCTTTGCAGCTGGTAGGCCCCCAGCCAATACTTGCTGGGGAAACGCAGCAGGCAGAGGCGCACACCCCACACCTCACCTTCAGCCCCAAAAACAGCTGTGGGCACCGTCACCAGGGCAGCCGCTACCCACACTGCCAGGGTGGCCACGCGGGCCCAGAAGAGTGAGAGGTGGGTGCCTGGCCCTGCAGCCATGGCCACCACCCAGTAGCGAGCAACGCTCAGCGCCGTGATGAGGAAGATGCTAGCGTAGACGTTGAGGACAGTGGCCGTCAGGACCATCTTGCAGAGGGCACCTCCAAAGGGCCAGTGGAAGTCCAGTGCCGACTCGGCTGCCCAGAAGGGGAGAGTGAGTGCCAGCCCTAGATCCGCCAGAGCCAGGTTGAAGACAAAGGTGTCCGAAGGTGGGCCAGGGGCTCGCCGAGCACAGTTACCCAGTGCCCACAGAACAGCCAAATTTCCTAGCAAGCCGATGGCCCCCACAATCCCATAGGCCAGGGCAACCATGACCCTCAGAGCTAGGAATTTAGCAGGCATAGCAGCATCATCAGCACTCACCACGCTGCCTCCGGAGGTGTTGACCCAGAAGAATGTGGGTGGAAAGGCAGAGGTATTGGGTGTGGGCATTGCAGGGCTTCAGAGATTGGTGCTGAGCAGAGAGGTCCACAGGTACCTGCCAGACTGACAGAGGCCCCTGCAGGCTGTCAGCGGGAGGCTCTAGATCTGAGAGTGTGTTTGTGGCTAGCTGCCAGGAGCTCCGGCCCACGCCCACATCTCAGAGGGAGGAGTGTGGATGGGACAACCCACCTCTTCCTTGGTCCAGATTCACAGTGGGTGGGGCAGGGCAAGGAAGAGCCCCAACTCGTATGAGACAGAGAGAGAGTGTGTGTGTGAGAGAGAGAGAGAAGGGCTCTATACCGGCACAGAAGGAGGGGAGAAGGAGTTATCCCACTGTGGAGGGCGGCCCCAACCTTCCACCTCAGTGAGGACAGGAAACAGACTACAGCCTCCTCTGTTCCTATCTGTGCAGAGCCCCACATACACACCCCTTCTCTGCAGAAAGTGTTCTCTTGGGGCCCAGGGGAAGGGGCCTGGGAGGGGGCCCAGAAGCAGGGAATCAGAATGGGTGTCAGAGAGGAAAGAGCTGAGGCTCTGGAGTCCCAGGCCTGCTACTCACTAGCTGTGTGCCTGGGTAAGCTACTTCACTCCTCTAAGCCTGTTTCTTTGCTTACAATTTTCAGATAAAAGTATCTGCTTCACAGAATTGGTAATACATGTGAAGCAGCTCTTTGTATGTCTTTGCATAAATGATGATTATTTCAAAGGAGACGTTTGGTGTGTTCTCGGTGGAAGGGAGCAGGATACTGAGCAGTTAGCATGCTCAGGGAACAGTGCCAACTAAAACAGGTTGGAATTCATCTTGGCAGCAAGTGACCTTGAGGCTAAGAGCAGGGAGGGAAAGGAGAGAGGAAGTCACAGCTTCCTGTTCCCTCCCCACTGGAATACTGAGCCTGTGAGGACTTGAGTGGAACCTCCGTTCTGTTCCTGTAGTCTTGCTAACCTCTGTCACCCCCACTGCCTTTCTACCTTTCCTGCTCTAACCTGAGCCAGAGCTCAGCTGTACTCTTGACTCTGCTTCTGTCCCCAAACCCCCTTTCAGAGCTATGGGTCCTGGGATATGCCCTCACCACCCCTCATCCTGTGTCCACATGATCTCAGTCCTAACTAAAAAAAAAAAAAAAGCCTCATGGGGTCCTTTCCTTTCATTCCCTCCATCTCTACCCACTGCAGAAGCTGCAATGGGGAAAAAGAAGGCGGAAGGTGGGTAGGAAAAAGAGTGAGGCTTTTTCAAGGATTCTAACATATTCAAAGCTTTTTTGCCCTCTGCTGGCTAATTATGATAATGTTTGATGTTCAGTTCCCTTGGAGTGCTGGGGGAGGAAAGGGGTTCTTCAGGACAATAAATCATCGGTGGGCTTGATGAACCCATAGTAGAAACCTAGGAGATGAGAGAGATCCAGGCATGGTACCAGGATGTGTGGGCTTTGGAGGCAGGGATGCACGTGATGAGGGTGGCAGAAAGGGAGTGTGCAGCCGAGGTCAGGTGAGCCCCACGGCCTGCCTCCTGGCCTCATGGGCTGCACCTGTGTGACTTTGTGCAGTCATTCTGTCTCCTAGATCCATGTCTACTCTTCTGCCCACCCAGAATCACCTTGCCAGTCTAGTAGTTAAGATAACTGCTTAATGTGTTGGGACCAATTTTCTCTTGGCTTGGAGAAAAGAGGCTAGGTCAGAATTCCAGGATTCTGCTATCCATTTAAAACATCTGGTCCTCTGGTTATTTCTTTATTTACCTTTATTCATTTCTAGGCTAAAGCCTTCCCAGGGTGGGGAACCTGTGGCCTTGGGGCCACATGCGTGGCCTTCTGGATCCTTGAGTGCGGCCTTTTGACTGGATCCAAATTTTGCAGAACAAATCCTTTTGTCTGGCCATGTCTAAGAACTTCATTTTTCTAGTATTCTGTTCATTTGTTCACTTATTTATTCATTCATTCTCTAATTGCAACATTTCCTGAATCCTTACTATGTGCCAGGCACTGTGCTAGATGCTGGGGAGACCAAAAAATATATGTGTGTGTGTGTGTATATATATATATATATATATATATATATATGTATATGGTTGCTCTCCTTATGGAGAATAAACTTTTTGAGATGGAGGTGATCTTTAAAATCACCTAGTTCAACTTGTCACTTTATAGAGAATGAAAGTGACTTGCCCAAGGCCACCAGGGAAGTGATGGCAGAGTCAGGATTGGAGATAAAATTCTCTTGCCTTCTAGGAGTCTTTCCTACTATATCATGAAACTCTTTAGGCATTTCTTTCTACTCGTTAATCCTTTTTCCCTTCCTGAATGCCAGTCCCTGCCCTTGGGTCTTGCTATGTTGCTCAGGCTGGTCTCAAACTCCTGAACTCAAGCCATTCTCCTATCTCGGCCTCCTAGAGTGCTAGGATTACATGCATCAGCCACTGCACCCAGCCAAAGAGAAGGGAGCTTTGCATTTGAACTTGTAGCACAGAGGATAGAGACTAGACCCTTGAAGGGCCTATACATGGCAAGAGCAGGAAGCTTGCCCCTAATCTAAATCCCTAATCTCACATTAACCCAATCAGCCACCATCTCTATTCCTTCCTATGTCTGCCAAGATTTACTGGAGAAAATTCTCCAGTTGGTAAGGGGTACGGGCAGCTCCAATGCTCAGGAAGAAGTTTTGAATCATCTCTCTCAATAAACTGTAGTGGTGGGGTTTTTTCAGAGTATTATGGGGGTACAAACGTTTTGATTACATAAAGTGCTTTTGTACAGTTTGAGTCAAAGTTATAAGTGTGCCCATCACCCAGATAGTGTGCATTGTGCCTATTCGGTGTGAATTTACTCATACCCTCCTCCTCCTTCCCATCTGCTTGATTTCCAATGAGTTTTATTTCCATATGTGCACATAAGTGTTGTTCAATTAGTTCCAATTTAATGGTGAGTACATGTGGTGTTTGTTTTTCCATTCTTGTGATACTTCACTTAGAAGAATGGTCTCCAGTTCTATCCAGGTTAATACAAGAGGTATTAGTTCACCATTTTTTATGGCTGAATAGTACTCCATGGTACATATATACCACGTTTCATTAATCCACTCATGTATTGATGGGCACTTAGGTTGTTTTCACATCTTTACAATTATGAATTGTGCTGCTATAAACGTTCGGGTGCAGGTGTCTTTTTTATAAAATGTCCCTTTTTCCTCTGGGTAAATACCCAGTAGGGGGGTTGCTGGATCAAATGGTAGGTCTACTTTTAATTTTTTAAGGTATCTCCATACTATTTTCTATATTTCTTGTAGGCTTTGCTCATTCCTCTTATTTCTCTGTTCTTTTTCTTTAACTGACTTGTTTAATTCAAAGGTGTCATCTTCTAGCTCTAAGATTCTTTCTTCTGCCTGACCTAGCCTACTCTTAAGGATTTCCACTGTGTTTTGTAATTCCTTGAATACATTTTTCATTTCCAGAAGCTCTGCTTGATTTTTAAAAATAATTTGCTTTGTTTTTTTGAGACAGAGTCTCACTTTGTTGTTTGGACTAGAGTACCATGACATCACCCTAGCTCACAGCAATCTCAAACTCTTGGGCTCAGGCAATCCTCCTGCCTTAGCCTCCTGAGTAGCTGGGACTACAGGCATGCACCACCATGCCTAGCTAATTTTTTTCTATTTTTAGTTGCCTAGCTATTCTTTTTTCTATTTTTAGTAGAGACGGGGTCTTCCTCTTGCTCAGACTGGTCTTAAACTGCCGAGCTCAACCAATCCTCCTGCCTTGGCCTCCCAGAGTGCACGAGCCATCGCATGCAGACATGATTTGATTTCTTTAGTTAATTTTAATTTTTATTTATTTATTTTTGAGACAGAGTTGCTGTTGCCAGGGCTAGAGTGCCGTGGCATCAGCCTAGCTCACAGCAACCTCAAATTCCTGGGCTTAAGTGATCCTCCTGCCTCAGCCTCCTGAGTAGCTGGGACTACAGGCATGCGCCACCATGCCGGCTATTTTTTCTATATATTTTTAGTTGGCCAATTAATGTCTTTCTATTTTTAGTAGAGACGGGGTCTCACTCTTGCTCAGGCTGGTTTTGAACTCCTGACCTTGAGCGATCCACCTGCCTCGCCTCCCAAAGTGCTAGGATTACAGGCATGAGCCACTATGCCCGGCCTCTTTAGTGAATATTTAATTCATTTCCTGTATTATTTTTGTGGTTTCTTGTGTTGGTTTTTATTTCTCGTGTATTTCATTGAGCTTCTTAAACATATTTGAAATTCTTAATCAGTCATTTCAATATTCTCATTTAGTTGGTTTCTATTAGTATGAAGTTATTTTCTTGTGGGTGTCCTTTCATTGATTTTGTCATGTATCTGGAGATCTTTTGCTGATTTCTTCTCATCTGGAACAGCTTTTGCTTCTTATTTTTGGATTTTAATAAACTATGTTTAGAATAGTTTTAGATTTACAGAAAAATTGCAAAGGCAGTGAGAATAATACATGTCTTTTATTTTCCAAAGTAAAATTTGTAGTTACCAAAAAAGAAAATAAGCAAAATATTTAGGGATAAACCTGACAAAAGAAGTGCATACAGGGGCGGTGGCTCATGCCTGTAATCCTAGTTCTCTGGGAGGCTGAGACAGGCAAATTGTTTGAGCTCAGGAGTTCGAAACCAACCTGAGCAAGAGCAAGACCCCGTGTCTACTATAAATAGAAAAAAATTAATTGGCCAACTAATATATATAGGAAAAAAATTAGCTGGGCATGGTGGCACATGCCTGTAGTCCCAGCTACTTGGGAGGCTAAGGCAGAAGATTTGCTGAGCCCAGGAGTTTGAGGTGCTGTGATCTTAGGCTGACGCCACAGCACTCACTCTAGCCTGGGCAACAAAGTGAGACTCTGTCTCAAAAAAAAAAATGTCCAATACTAGTACACTGAAAACTACAAAGCATTGCTGAGAGAAAGAAGACCTACATAAAGGAGTGGTTTACTGTGTTCATGGTTGGAAGACTCAATAATATTCTTAAGATGTCAGTTTTCATCTGGGCCATAGATTCAA